CGTCTCGCGCTTCCAAATGGGCATGGTTTCCATCCTTTCTTTTATACCCAACTTGTTTACTTAGAATTCATCCGAGTCATCATCCAGGTACGTTACATGCTAGGAACGTTTCGTGTCTGTTCAGTTAGGTAAGGCAACTTGTAGAATGGTACCTCTCATCCCGTTATCTCAGAAATTCATGATGTGTCAGTTTATTTCTTACACCCACCAGCGTTCCAGCCATATCTGTGTTGAGAACTCATTCGTACCAGGTCTGGCATACATTCCAACATTCTTACATACCAGCAACGTGAGTTTCCTAGTAAAGTTCATGAATAGGATAAACCTATGGCTATATGATTATATAGATTTATATATATATAAGGCTTAAATTCATTACACTGCTGGCCTCCCCATTGATTTTGCTTGTGGGAAGCTGGCAGGGAGCATCAGAAATCCCTCCCTCCCTTCCTTCCTTCCTCCCTCCCTTTCCACATATAAGATTTGCTGTGCCATCACAACCCTCAGGAGAGTGCCGGTGAAGCTGCCTCCTCCCCCTCCTCCTCCTTGGCCTGCCACTTTGCTGGGGGAAGGTGGAACAAAGGGAGCTGCAGTCTGTGAGGAAAACTGCACCCCTGCTCCCCATTCCAGGGTGTCACCAAGGGCCCCTCCCTTGAGGGAGAAAGGGGGCTCACCCATCAACCCCCAGCACCCCCTATCCAGCCCTACCTTGCCAGCAGATATCTGAGTTGCTCCCTCATCCTTCCCTCACCACCAACTGCCATCAAGAGATTTCAGATTTCTGCCTCAGTTCCAAAGCAGCCAACTGCCACTCACCTGTCAGGCCTTGCCACCAGCCGATTGGGCACAGGGAACAGAGGGAGGTGGGAAAGAGGTCAGGAATATGCCCATGACAATCACATGACCTGGGCTGATTGCTGCAGTGCTGAAGCAGCCACAAATTTCCCAAATTTCAATCCCACAGAAGTAATGGGTCCCAGAATTTGGACACATTCTATAAGTTAGCCCATTTGAGATACCTTGGTAAAAAATTGTTGCCCTATGATACACCATTTTGCCCATTTGAATGTTACAGACAGGACGGTTTTAGTAGTATATAGATCTTTTATAATACATATTTTTTACTATTGTAATCAGCAGTAAAAATCAAATGTATTGTGTCATACGGATAGAAAGACTGGATATCAATTAAATAAATAAATGATCTATCTCCCTGCTCTGGGCAACTGGACAAAGCTATTTGCTAGATCCACCCCAAATCAACTGCTTCCTCCATTGTATGTTCCATAACAAGGAGAGAATTGCTCTCATGAATGATGCAAACAGGGAGTAATCCTTTCAGTGAAGTGCACAGAAACACAGTACAGACAGAGCACATAACTATAACAGATTATAAAGTGTATTTATATGCCCATTTTTAATCATCTCTAAATACTTTACTATGTTTTATCTTTTAAATCTGCTAGTTATTACCTGTGGGCCACCTCCCCAGGTACTGTATGGAAAGGTTGAAGGATCTGATTTCCACTGGGGATCAAGTATAAGTTATAGCTGTGCTGATGGGTATCACCTTTCCAATTCTGCTATCCTTTCATGTGAAGGTACAGGAGTATGGAGAGGAGACGTTTCGCAGTGCCTACGTAAGTTTATTAAGATTAAACTTTATTAAGATTAAATAGCTAACTTTTTTTAAAAAATACCAACTGTTTCATATTGCAATGATGCACACTTGTGACTGAGAAGACAGCAGGAGTTACTGTGAGGCAACAGGAACTGAATATTGTCTACAAGGTCAAGGCAGGCAGTATAGCAATTTTTATTATTAATGCAAATGAATCACAGCTGGGAACTGAAAATATAAGTACCACATTCACTTTTGAAATTCCATGCAATATTCAAAATACTGAATGTGGCTATATTACAAACTCAGGTGTTTTTTTTAATCTAGATCCTCCCAAAGGCTAAATATATTTTGGTTGCAATTAAAACACATTCCTGGATAAACTTATCTTTTCCTATCTACTACCTCTGGATATTTCCACACAGCCACTGGCCCTACTCCTTTTATCTTCTACAGATTTCTGCTGTTGTGCTAACCCTGCTTGCTCACATGATACCAGGCAGCCATTCTTCCAGCTGGCTAGTGGGATGGTGAAAAACCAGCAACTAGCAACTGCCTGTCTTGCCCTTAATCTTTCCTCACTGCATTTCTTTTTCATTGTGAGTGGGGAAAAAATTAATATACCAGCAATTGGGTGGGATGAATGGGTAGCAAGCCACAACAGTGCTTTGGCTGTAGGAGAAAAACTGCCCATACTGCAGCTCCAGAAGAAATGCTACAAATCTGGATAAGTAGCTAAGGCAATAATTAATTAGCTAATCTTTGCAAACTATATACAATCCTCACAATATTATGGAGACACAGCAATCTCTTAATTAAGTCATACAGGTTGATTGGTGTTTGTAGGTAGAAAATCCTTACATTGTCCAAGATAATTCATTTTAATGGGACAGGGCTTGGAGCATCTTCTATGCATCAAAATCATCACTTACTTCTAATTGAAATATATACAGGAGATCATTGTGAAATAATGCTTACAGAATGCTCATAAAATGAAAGCCTTCTGCATATATATTGTTCTATTTTTGCAAAGTTTCTGCAAACATTTATAAGAACAAGACTGGATGCTGTTATCAAACTACTTGATTGAAAATATTTTTAAAGGCAACTTACAGTGTTGTTGTGAGACCACCAAAGGTCATTATTTGATTATCTAGGGTGTTCTGGGGAAAAATAGAAAATCAGATCTTTCTGATGATTTGAGCAACATAACTTTCCTGAACTTGTCAACTCTTAAAATTGTTCTGCTATCTAATACCACAAGGAAAAATCTCAATGGAAAAACATAGATAGATAGATAGATAGATAGATAGATAGATAGATAGATAGATAGATAGATA